TGACACAAAAGCCCTCCTAGGTGAATGGCAGTCCTACTCTAAATATTTTATACAGTGATGAGTTCGGTCTCTTTTGTAGCTCTGCCTGTTGAAGATGATGTGGCGTGTACATGCGGCCAGACTGCTATCTGCTGTTTGTGTTTTCAAAAAATGCAGTGATGTAGCCAGTCAGGAGAGACATTCTTTTCTACAGCATAAATTACACGCACCACACTCATAAATTGAAAACCTGCATGAAAAATTTAAAATAATATAAAATCTAAATAAATATCAGGGTCAATATCACCATAGAGTGCCTTTTAACCCTCACAATACTCAAAAATTTTGGTTTTAATTTCCTATTCGCTTTATGTCATGTCATAAATAGTAGACACTCAAGTACTATAGAAACGTATTAGCTGAGCTCCCACACATTTTTTTTTATAATTATGGGCCATTATTCGAAGCATAAACCATAAGATATGTCCACCCTGTAATGAAAATATATATTACTGTTAAATACATTTTCATTGCAATATTAAGATGCAAATTATATTTTCTGAAAGGTATGATGTCCCTTTCCTAAACAGGGTTATTTGTTTGCTTTCAAATTATAAATACATAAAATATTTTATGTAAACCATGTGTTTTTAAAGAAGCTCGTACAATTCGCACATGTATTTTTTCTTATTTGGAGAAAACTGATATTTGGATGCAGTTTTTTGTTTGCATGTTGTTGCTCCCACACATAGCTATTGAACAGACTGGATTATATAGATATGATTGAATTATTTAAAATATTATTGTAAAATATCAAGATGACAGGGTGGACCAGCACATGATGGGGTGAACACATAATGCAGAACACAAAGCATGACAAAATATGACAATGAAACATTTATTCAACTTCGAAAAAATTATATAATAATAATAAATAATATATTTACAACATCCTCAATCACATTGATCCCCCCCCCCAATTCGTTTTTAGCAATATTAACTACAAATGAATGCTATGTCCACCCTTTTTATGATTTGACAATATTCTACTATCATTCAAATTTAATGAGCAGTACATGGGACATAGCAAAATAACATGCATCCTCTTACACAAAACAAAACAAAAAATCTAGAAAATGTATCTAAAGAGCCAAGTAATGCTTTTGTTATAAATATAGAAACTTAGCCACACCCTTTCATAGTAATTTTTATATTAAGTTATCATGGCAAATTCGTTTTTGTTCAGGACACCAAAAGGCACCCTAGTGATATTAGCCCATCACTATTAAAGACTTCGTGACAAAACAGTTTTCTTTCCTATGTTGCCATATTTCCAGTTGAAACAGTCAGTTGGGGTGGTGGCAAGTGGTACGGAGTGCAAGTATTTGAGGTATTTTTGACACTAGTTCTTTTCACAGTCTTTTCTTAAAGAGTTACAAACCATGAACCAAACTAACCAGCTACAAGGTGAATCACAACATTACAAACTTTGATTTGAAGCAGAAGTATATGAAAATCGGAACAAAAAGATACAAGAGTACAGGTGCAATAATAGGTGATTGTCTTCAAAAACATTTTTGTCATGCTGGTTGAAAGTCTCTTCACATCTCCATAGCAATCATTAAGTTAAGTGGTCTAAATGTATTTATCTGTATTTATATATTTTGTGGAAGGCGTAGGACCAAGAAATGTTCATCCAATCAAAAAGCTCGGTCCGAGCATTTTAATTGGCTTTCCTACCTGCCTGTCAACGTATGTATTAGCATACCTCTGCGCTAGGGATGCACCGATACCACTTTTTCCAGTACTCGCCCGATACCGATACTTT